ATACTACATTGCTTATGGGTAGGAAATACCAATTACATGATAACACGAACCGTTGTTAAAATTTGATAAAGTATTAAATGCATCTTATCACCCCTCTATGTTATCCTTATCACACACAACGTCAACACAAAATACTATCTAGATTTTGCCATAAAAATACTGGTTACAAATAAAAAAACCTTAATTTATTGATATATATTATATATCAATACGATATATATATATATATATATAATTCTTCAGATATTATAAAAAATACTATTTTATGGAGCCCATTGTAGTAAAGCTTTAGGATGTATAATAATTGGTTTTCAAAATAAAACGTTTTATTAGTAGATAGGTACTACTGTACCATTGTATGGTTGGTAATGCTACAAGTTATCTTACTAATATCTATAAACACGAAAGTATGTGAGTCTGGATGGATGTTTGTTACTCTTTCAAAAACTACTGGACGGATTTTGATGAAACTTTACAGTAATATAGCTTATACATAAGAATAACACATATGCTACAATTTAAAAAGATATTATGTAAATTGGGCAAAATATAATAATAAATGTCAAGTAAGTGCAAGTGTGTGCAGACAAAGTTACGCAGGTAAGCTAGTTACTAATATGATTAAGTTAACACAAATATAATATCGGTATAACCGTTATACAAACGGTAGACATCCAAAGTGCAATATCATCAGAAGTGAACAGTCCGTCATAACTGTCATCAAAACTAAAGACACTACTACCACTTAAGAAAAAAGATAACAAACAGACACACACACACAAATGATATATCTATACAGTTGGCATAATTTAAAGATTTCTCACGGAATAAAGTAGATAAGTAAATAGCCATTAAATACACTCGTACAGGAAAATTACTATATTAAATATTAATATGAGTTAAACATTACAAAATATTCTAAAATCAACAGATCATATCGTGATTATATCGCTCAGTGTTGTTACGTAATCCATCCCAGGAACGGTTGCAATCACCGGCGATTTCACCAGCGACGTTGCATCGCCTTACATTTTATTACAATATCACGTAATGTCATATCGGAACCGAGGCGGTGAGAGCGAATAATCGGATCTTGTTATTCCGTATACCCAAGTGCATCGAGTGCAATCTGTTGGCTTCCGATTACGGAACAAATTATTGATTCTTGTCTATTGTTGTAAATACAGAATTGTTATGGTTCGGTAGAGTGATGACGAGGACGTGCGCCTCTAGGTCACGTCATGGTCATACGTCACGCGTCATTGCTCTTTGCATCATGTTCAATTATTGTAATAAAAGTAATACTATACTGTCAGTAAATACGGAGCACAGTTATAATGCCTTCTTGGCTTATATGTATAGTAGCTGTTCCCGCGGTTTCACCCGCGTGAAATTTATAGCCTACATATGTTATTGTAGTGTATAAGCCATATTACTGTAAAATTTCATCAAAATCCATACTCACAAACTTTCGCGTTTATAATATTAATAATATTTATAAGTTTATTTTAACTGTGTCGTGTAGATTTCAATTAAATAATAATAAATAATAGTGAACTAAAGCCATCAAATTTAGAGTCAGTGTAAGAATATAAACTCATCTTACCAATGAATATTTTCTTATTTATTGTCATATATAGGAATATTTCACTCTAATTTACAACAATGTTAATATTATTCCTCTGCGCTCCCAATTCATGTTGTATTCATCCAGGCACTATTTAATTAAAAACATTACTTAATAATATTCTAAGCCTAAGCAGAATAAATGTTATAATACGATAATTAACAATATACTGAAATGCAATCTGCATTTTACGACAAGAAAAACCATATGCCAGTAGAATCCGGTCATGTATAGAAAAGATTTTGCATACTTATGTATGACACCAATAAATTTCAACAGGTGTTGATTTTATTACTGATTGTCATTTACTATTGTTTGATTTTGTTAAGTGTCGCAATATATCTTTAATAGAAAATAAAGAATAGGTAGACATTATTCATTCACGTTTGCATATCATAGTGCATACATGTAGATCGATAAACCTAGGTTAGTTCTGCAAAACAACTTTGATTAAAATGCGTTCAGCAACACAAGCAGACAAAATGGTGACTTTTATTTAAGATTTGATTTTAAACCATGACCTTTCCTACTCAGTTCACTCACATGGAAATTAAAATTATGTATTATACTATTTTGCAATTTTGTCTAATTACTCCTTGAAGAGTGACTTCTTTGCAGCGTATTATATTAGGAAACAAAAGACCCGAAAATGAAATATTAATTCGCCAGTTGAATCGTGTTTCAATCAATGTTGTCATGCGAACCTCTGTATATATGTCACATTATAGTACGTATTTTACATTTCAAGTTTTTGACCTAGTTACAATATCACTGTAAACAAAGACCACGGTCCGCGGAACAGGGTCGCAGACGTTTTGGCGAGGTGAGCGACCCCACTATCACGGCGATCATTCCGGTTAGCGTTGGTTTATCGCTACGTTACGGCTACGTCACGTCAACGCAACGAAACTGCTGCTGGGCAGCAACTAGAGCGGGAAACTGATTTTTCACGCTGATTTTCGCGCACTTGTATGGTTATAGCAAACATGTTTATTTTGTGGACAGTTTTTACAAGTACTACGAAATTACATAAATAAATTTTGTACTATATTCCCGTGTACTTTATCCCAAACAATTAGCTACAGACTCAGCGCTGAACTACACACTGATGGCATGCGGCCGGTAGTGCATCATTTATATTCTAGAAAAGTAAAGAGTTTGGGTCTCTATGGGCAAAATATTTAGGCTTGAGGCTATTTATCTGGGGACATAACAGAACTTTTATATTTGAGCGAATATATAGACTCGAGGGTGGTTTTAAGATTTATCGAACTTAAAGTTATTATTGCACTATAGTGCTAACAGCAGTACTGTTGCCGAAAGTGTTTACTGGGATTAATGTATTTGGACCAGCTGGAGAAGAACCGGTTAAAAGGCTTCGTTCCAGTTCAGTCATTAAAAAAATACACTGCATAGTAATTATTCCATTAATAAAAATAAATAAATAATATTTTTTTTAAAACCAACAATCAGGTAAAACAATGATGTAACAGAGTTCAGAATTCTAGGTGTTTCGAAACAATGCATTATATTATGATTGATTACATCAAATCATGCATTGTATTAGATAATCTTTGATACGATAAAATTATATAAATAGATATTCAATGTCAAGTATCTATGACATATATACACATTAATATAATCATATGCATTTATGATTATCATATTATTTATGTTATAAATGAAAACTGATCTCACTAACTTTTCTAATCCGTAAAAGATATTATAATTCTAAGCACATCAATAATGTCATTAAATTGACTAATTAATATTTCCGTACAATGGTATATATGTAATTTATGAATATAACGGGAAATGTCCATATACATTATGTATGTAGTGAAATTTTGCGTTACCTGTAGATCAAAGCTTTCAATTAAAAATTAGGCTGTTATTCCATAAATTGTATAAATATAAAAATGGTAAGTAGGTACTATAACTATAATTTAAAAAACCTTTCCAATATGCGATAATGCAATCATAAAAAATATATATGAGTTCGTCCAATATTACCTACAGTTAAAAAATACATGCTGTTTTCTATAAAAGTCCATAAAAATAGCCTTGGGGTGACATCGACCGGCGGACCTCCAAATTACACATAACAGTGGCGTAGCGGAGTGAGACAAAAAAGCGCAAGGTCTTGGTAGAAACGCTGACGCTTCCTCGTGCAGTCATCGACAGAAGACCTCGCTTATAAAACAAAAGGTACTAAAGACAACCACCCCTACTCAAGGTACATGTTCAGGGGTCAACAACTGTACTCATTAAAATCCATAGAAATAAGTAATTATATTTACATTTTAACTATTGCTGAACCCTGGTTTTACCGATTTAAACAAATTTACGTAAGCTTATATAGAACATGCCAACTTTGGTGAACATATGATATAATAATTAAATATATCAAATTATGTAAGCGGTGTACCAGACTTGGGGTGGTAAGGTTATACTGTCGTATGACTGCATCTATATACTATAGTATAATTCTGATTGCATTTTACTAGGAGAGCAGGAGGTCTTACTTAAAAGAAATATTAAATTTCTAATTATACCATTTCTTTCAAATTTACGCAAATGCAAGCAAAATTATTAAATCACAATTTCGTAATGTGTTTACGACGTTGCTTGTTGTATTTACGTAGGTGTTTACGAATTTAAGTACAATAATAATATAATTATTTATAATCTAATATTTTCATATATAATTGATAATAACTACTTTCATATGCTTAACATTAGAAATTGTGATTGGGATTATACTACACACACAATAAGAATGATATTACGAATAACGAATTTAAATTAAATAGTAGTAATAAATTAAAATTTATTATAATTTTTTTAATTTATTGCTTTAACATATTAATTATGTATTTATTTAGTTCGTAATCTCACTCGTCTAATTTAGTAGTCACAAATAAAAATAAATATAATTGATATTATTTAATATGGCAAAATAGTCCATGAATGCCACCTGTATTAGGATATTACCAGATATTTACAAACAAAATAATATACTTATAATATATTCATATAACTGTAATGCCACATTAATTGATAATAGTCCCACGGCCGAATAAATACAAACATCGCTGTTTAAACACCACTTTGTGTACATATTTAAATAATAATGTCAAAATATAACAAGCAGGAAGAAATGTAAGGTCGGAAAGCTGTTATAATATGAGCACCGTATCAAATAATAAAATAAAACTAGTCCAGTGTGACCATTATCTTCATGTAACAAAATAAATATATATTGCATAATTGCTACTAAAAGCATATTTCTGTATAGATTGGTATGATTAATAGAAACCGGCTTTTAGTTATTAATTATTTATAATAAATATTCTTATATAGTACTTACCATCACAGGTAGCAGCCATAAACTTGCCGTTGGCAGAAAAATCTACCAGTAACACAGTACCGGGATGGCCTTTGAGATTCTTAAGGAGCCATGGATGATTGAATTCTGTCTTCCCTTTCCATGCTGCTCGCTTCTTACTTTTTCCACTAACGCGATTTTCTGGCATGCTTGTTTCTGAAGCAACGTCTTCGGATGGAGCGTCTGTAAAGGAATCATTGTTATAATATTTAAAAACAAGTATGATTCATCAATGTGCAAATGAAAATGATGTCTGTATAAATAAAGAAAAGTACGCCGTATTACGAGTGGTAGGAATAATATATACATAAAGTTACAAATCTTACAACATACGACGTGGAATGTACGTATTATATTGTTAAAAAAGATAGATGATTTATTTCTAATCAATTTAGTATATTACTTACACTCCATAATTATTTAACTGATCATACAAATTAACAATCTAATTTATTGGATAAGCTATTTTTGCCATGTATGCACGTCAGGCTTAATATTATCCGTTTTATTCGTTGGCGTCGCCGTCAATTATCAAAATCTGCCAAGACTTTCAAAGTCAAGATATATATATATATATTGATGATCCCGTACAAGTTAGTCGCAATATATGTATGGTATTTAAATAGTGAATAATAGGCATTATACGAATAATAATACTCAGCAAGTATCTTAATAAAACATTAAAATTTATTGGTAACTAATATTTACAAATGCTCCCATACATTTGATTTCTTATTATAATAGATAAAATGGTATATAGTATTAATCTTTCACATATAGAAAGTTAGTGTGATATAGGCTGTATTTTTTTTTACATTGATCCTTACAATATGCACCCGAACGAAGCTTAAGTGAGTCACAAATGTCGACAAACTACATTATATTCTTGTTTTGATCTCCGTGAGAACAGGAAAAAAAATTTCCTGTACTTACGAGCAAATGGTTGATAATTTATTTGAAGAGGCTAGCGCCCTCTGAGTAATGTTTACAAGCCACTTTCGTTAGACACAGAGTGCCCTTTGTAGCACGTGGACAGGTTCTCTTCAATAGCTTAATTTAAAGTTATTTCAATAACAAGGTATTTATATTACAGGTTAATAATTACAGTAATATCCTATAGGATTTTACTGTAATTATAACCCTGTAATACGTGACATAGTATTCAAATTATAATAAAACAATTATTTTTAAGCAATAAGGCTCGCGGTCCGCGTCATTTTCATAATTTATTATGATTTAAGTCGATTCCTTTTAACAATATAGGTACATTACAAGTTTACTATAAAGGATGTAAGTTGATTAGTATTACGGACGAATGGGTGTAGTGATAATATGAATACAAAGTTATGACTGTTACAAGAATAATGTAGTTATTTACTACGTGTTTTATCTGTTACTCTTTCATGATTCTGACGACAGAATTCTGTTTAAACTTTAGCAAACTATATTTCTGTCGTTTACATTTGTTTCTAATATATTTAAGTAATCGGTAATTTCTATAGTATATTCCTGTATCCAGAAGGAGCCAATTGTTGAATTCCGACAATATAGCCCCCATCTCTGGGAAGTCTGTAATCACAAATGGGGCGTTAATGTCATTTTAACAGCTAACAGTTGAAAGAGTATCTTTAATATGTTTATATTCATAAATTTAATTCGTATAACTCATGACCACAAGAAATAAATTACGATATTACATACATATAGCGAACTCAAAGATGAAGACGACATTACTGCGCCGACACCAAAAAATGGTATAAAAGTAAGTTATGATAATAAAAATACATGATGTTAGCTATCGAATTAGTTAGCAATGAATGAAATGAATCATCATAATACGAGTAATACCATGACATAATCAGATAAGTAATCCTTTATTGCCACTGAGGTATTATGGTATCTGCATAATAGCTAATGTTTATTACCCACAACATAATTATTTATCAATTATATTTATTTCATTCATAGTTTAGATTTACATTTCTTATATGTAAAAAAATATTAATCACTATAAAGAATATTCATATATATAATATGTTTTTTAAAAAATAAATGAAATTTATGTAAATAAAAATTGTTCAATATAATTAGCAATTTGTTTGTTGGTACCTAATCGTTACGAACGTCATGGTTGCAAATAGGCGGATTCAAGGAGATATAAAAAACGAATGATTAATAGAATCGTATTCTATTCTTGGATTGTTAATGATTCAACATACCTCACATAATATGGAGTATGGGCCTGGAATCCAAATAATTAATTATGAGGGGCTTCAGTTTAAATACCATCCTCAACACATAAAAATATTGTAGGCATGTTTTAACTTCTAAATCACAGATTAGTCAGAGATGAAGATAATGATGATCTTCAATGCATTATTTATTCTTCAATTATTTTAGTTAAGAGTCAAAGGATGCATAGTATATTAACAATATAGCATTTTATTATCCATGAATATTACTTTTTCTTGATTTGATTTTAGAATGGCCAAAAAGGTGACTATCCACCTCCATGATTAAATTATACAGGCCAATGTTAAAAATTAGCAATAAAAGTTGTTTGAAACAAAAGCCCAAGTTTTACTTTATTAACACTTAAATTATATGCATCAATTTATTTTGAATATATCATTATAAGTAGTTTAACAGAGCTTTATTATTTTTTGTTTGATAGACCTGGTTTTCTGATACATTGTTCATTATTCAATGTTGTTTGAACAAATGGTGATTGTCATGTTCTAGTAGATTAAAATATAATTATGCGCAACTATAGCAAAAGGTCATATAAATGTATAAAAATATTTTCATAATTAAGTATTGTCTACTTGTCTGTATTATGGTTGTCTTTTATTAATATTGTATAGTAGTAAATAATATTAGATATTAAATTTTGTACACTAATATAATGTCACAATTGCTTTTAAGAATAAGAATGTCTTATAAGTATATGATTCCAGACTATTTTTTTGCAACAAAATGAAGCACAATAAATACAAGAATAAGCAATACAACATACAGTGAATGAGAAGAAAAATAATATAAAATGTATTATTATTAAAAGAATATGGAACAAAAATACAATCAAAGAATTTGAAATATCTATTTTCTAGCTGCATTATTTACACATTATTTGCTTACTGTTAGGAGGTATTACAATAAAGACTTTATAATTTTACTAAATATGTCAGACATAAATAAATGAAAATATAATGTTAGTACTAATAATGAAGTATATGACATTATGTTAATAATTCCTTTCTAAAAAACAACTTAACTTTTATTAATTAAACTTTTAGTAATTGAACCTTACTTGCATACAATATGCAAATAAGGTTCTAAAGCCAAGTCACTATAAAAATACTATATAGGAAATATTAATTCAACAGTAATTATATAATATATGTATATTCTCTTTTAGTTAATATTAAATATACATATACATGTATCTTTACATAATTCTATTCATATATTAGTAAGTATTTATACAGTGTAAGTACATAGATTATTTAAATTATTAACCGGGTCTTAATTTCAGTAATGTATATTAAACACGAAAGTTTAAAATTAACTAAGTACATAGATATATGTACAAGTCAGTGTAGACTGGAAGAAATCCTTTAGTTGAAGAAGTATATCACTGTATATTGAAACGCCTTGAGTTTCTTTATACAATAATTATTATAAATTTTAATAATAAATTATGTACATATAATGATATTACAAAAGAATAAATACAACTGCTCTTAAACATTTTTTAAAATATTGATGGTTTAGACTAGACTTATCACTGATCAATAGATTCAATCTTAGTTTAATAAATAAAAATTATAAATAGATCATATTTGAATATAATTTAAAAAATGAAATAATACACACACATATTTATTATAAACAAAAATATATTTTCAATATATAATAAAACAAACTTTGAAATATTAATAATTAATAAAATGTGGAATAATTTTTAAAAACAATAATTTTTAAAATAATTGCTTCTAGATTTTCAAAATTTATACAACAATTTAGCTGCATTATATTTGTGCATGTATAAAATTCACCGGTCAGTACATTAAATCATTAACAATGAATTTGTATTTTATAATATACTAAGAAATATAGTAGGACCTTTGTTTAAGTAATAAATTTTATTATTATTGTACCAATGGTAAAGTTTTCGTACGAACAATAAAAAACCGCATAGAATGCACACATGGGATTTATAAGTAAGTTGGCGGTACAAACGTCCCACGTGTTTAGTAGTATATTTAATGTCATTCTTTTTACAATCAACATTTTACTTTTTACAACTGTAATTTTTGTACTGTAAAACTTACCCAAATTATTCTCCGTTTCATGTTTAATTGTTTCCTTTTTCTTGCTTCCGAAGATAGTTTTGTAAATTAAATTGATTATTATACCTAAAAATACAGTAATTCCTACTGTAAGGAATACATTTGTGTTTAAACCGGCGTTAAAATCGCCCATTTTCACTCAATATTAATATAAAATTCTTTAATATTCTCTAATTTTATTATAAGCAAACCAAGAGGTTTACAAGATACCTATCTATTCACAATATCTGACAGAATCTGACTGACTGACTGAACTGAAATACTGAAATTAAAGTTGCCAACTACAAAAAAATATTGTTATATTACTGACAACACTACAAAGATTTAGTTACCAAATTTGCATGTTGGAATTACTATCGAATTTATAACAAAATTATCGAGCAAAGGAAGAAAAACCGACTTCTGTTTATCCTTATACCTTCCTTAACAAATGCGATAATTGTACTGAGTAAACCTTATCTTTGTGCTGAATATCGAACAGATATTAAAAATAAATAATTTAATTACAGAGTTATAGAGAGAGTTTCGGTTCCTAATAATAAAATAATATGCCCGCTATTATGAACTTTGTCCGTTTTAGAAATGAAACAGATCTCAAATGACGAAAATTTGAAAATACAAGCAATATCTATCTTACAATAATTCTAATTTATTTTATAGATTTTCTTTACTTTAATAATAGTTAAAATCGTTTTAATATGGATATATTACATTGTAAATTGATGATTTTTTTAAATTGGCTGGTACCTATTACAAAAAATTATGAAATAATTTTGACAGTTTAATTTTACTCATTAACTTTATATGGACTTGTAACAAAAATTAAATTTCAATAACACAATTTACATCCCATACAATATGCCAGGTCGAAGCAGAAGGTAAGTAACAATTTTTAAAGATTCTTTCAATAGAAATACGTGTTTCATAGAAAAAAGAAACAGGTGTCTATATAAAATATTGTACTTCTTCTTGATTTTATGATACCCACAACCTGATTCGATTTAATAATAACGTTTTATAAAAACAAGTATCTATTAGAATTATTAGTTATCTGGAAATGTGGATTATTATTGCAAATTTTTCATTTATCTATACTAGCGACCACCTCTCGTTTTCGCCGGAGTAGTAGAGCATTATCCGATACCGTATACTGGAGCGCAGCGGAGTGACTGCATCAAGTTGCGTATATAATTGAGTTACGTTATTGCAAATCCGCTTGAATTTATTTTCTTGAGCTTTTTAATTTACAATAACTCCTAAGAAATTCATTAAAATTATAGGGCGTAAAAATTATTATACCTAATGTGTATAAAATGCCTAAGAATATTATCTTATCTGTGCTTAAGGTAAGTAACTTATTTACTCGTAGTTTGATATAATAATTAGATACAGTAGCCATCTAAAACGCTTTGGAAATGCCTCATGTATGTAACAGTATTTTATAAGTTAAAATTGGTAGCATACTATCCTGTAAGTTAGAAATATCTTAGATTTGTAGATATATAGAAGATAAATATTACCACCAATTTATATACCCGTTTTAATTAAAAAATATTAGAAATATCCTCCATATTTTACAAAAGCTATCTATTTATAGAAAATATTGAAGTAATATTTAGCCTTCCAACAATAAAAAAATCAATGTAAATATTTTTAGATCAATTACACGCGTTGGAAAACAAAGAAATTGTTTATTATGTAGGGGGCGCCATTATGTTATAGTACCGGATAGTTATTAAGTTATAGAATATATTTAGAAGAAAATAATGTAATATTTCTTATGAGCTCTTTTTGTGAAAACTAAATAAATGAAATATATTTTTTTGTGAGATGAACTGTTTTTATTTATTAGAATTTAGATATGGTCTCACTGTTCGATATTCAATTTTTCTAGAGTCTTAAAATGACATTACATTATTTTTAAATCTATACGTCATTGACGTCAGTCACATAACATTACTTGTTCATTGTATTCAGTGATAAGGTGTTTTATCGAATTGTTGTCGATTTCTGCGCAGTTAATCAACTATATTATTTGAATTATAATAAAAATGCCTCGACGAGGACGTTCTGCAAGTCCCCCACCTGCGCCACAAAGAAGGTAATTATTCTATTCCAATAAGTTGCTGCTTTTAAGTAATTTCAATGTCATGTGATGTTGATAACCTCCCAAAATTTCAGGGCTGCACCACCGCCAAGCCATGTCCCGGCTCGTGCTCCTCCATCGAGCGTAGCACCAACACAAGCTCAACCCCAGCAGCCTTCCCTTTTCGGGCAGATGGCTGCTACAGCCGGCGGAGTAGCAGTGGGATCAGCAGTGGTTCGTAATGTTATTACGTAACGTAACCAAAAATATGGAATAATCTAGATTATTTAAAATTCTATTACAATAAAATAACATTTTGTGCAATCAAAATCATTATTACATTTTGTTTCTGAGAGTGGCAAGTCGCCAATAATGTGAAGATGGTCACATGTAATGTTATCTACATACATCATGATTGTTTTTTCATATTTTCGCACTATTTTTTGGTATATTTACTTGCCTGATCATCCATTATGTTATGTATTTGTATCCACATTATACTGCATAAAACTAACAAACTAGACAGTATGGATTTTTCATCTCAAATGGCTTTATTAGAGAACAAAAGAATAATATTATTTTTGGACTTATTCTTAAATTAGTAATGTCTATAACAAGATATGATAAGCTTGTTTATGAAATATGTCACTTATAGAAAAACATAAATAGACAAGTATTGCACAATGATTTTTTATTTCTTTTGCATATAAATAAATGATTTAGATTCAAGAGTTAATTTTCTTGACTTAAAGGGTGGTATTTTTCTAATACAGCTATCTTAATTTTATTTGTTAATATTTCATATTTGGTTCGAAACAACTTCACACTGATTTGGATAATGACACATGTTACTTATTTTTGCTTTTTATATTTAATTACTGCAGTACAGTATATTTAAACAAAAAAATAAAATTATAATTATTCAGTAGCTAATCTGTATACCTATGTATATGTTTTGAAAATGCTTGAATATTATCAGAATATTTACTCTATAGTGGATAATATAATTCTCAATAAAACTAAAAGAAAATTATATTTGAATAAACAAAATGTTTAATTATATTTATCGGATATATTTCTTAATTGATAACTTTTTTTGAATAGATAATTTTAAAAAAGAGTTTTTTTCATTGGCTGTCTGTTAATTGTGTCCCGTTTTGAGTCGAAGAATAAATGGTCACATTATCTATAGTGGATATTTCGTGATAATTCTCAATAAAACTAAAAGAAAATATTATTTGAAAAGTTAGTAGTGCCATGCTCAAATATCTAATTTGATTTGTTAAATATACACTTTCCTGACTATAAAGGCAAATATTTTTTTCTTTTACTCTTTAAAAAGAAACTATGTGCTTTTATATTACAGGGTCATGTGGCTGGTAGTGCTTTGACTGGAATGTTCAGCGGTGGTAGCAGCAGTGAGCCAGCACAGCCTCAGCAACAGGCCCCAGCTCAGACCTATCAACAGTACCAGGGCCAGCAGCCCCAGGGTGCTTGTGCTTGGGAGATTAAGCAATTCATAGAATGTGCACAACAACAACACGATTTATCTCTATGTGAAGGCTTCAATGAGGCTTTACGTCAATGCAAAGTTAACAATCACTTGTAAAATAAAACAATAAGGTGTTCTATTTATTAATGTAGAATGGTTTTCTCTATTAGAAATTAATTGTACATAACATGGCCAAAACAATTTAGTCATATTAGACATTTTTCCTTTAGTCCACAGAAAATGGAACACCTTACTAGTAATTTTTATAATTTTAATTAGATGAATGACAAGGACAAGGGTACATTTTTCTTTTAGAAAATTTTAGTTCAATAATTGTTACATTTATAAAATATTATGATGTAAAATTTAATTCTTTATAACAATGTAAACATTTGTGTTGATTAATTTTTAGTGACAAATATATTCAGTAAATACAAAACCAAACAAGAATTTTATTACAAACATTGCGGTGAATGGTGAATTTACTATAATGGACTAACCTGACCTCATGCTCATCTTATCATCCTCCACTGGTGCCCCACCAGCGTAAACCGTTAGGGTATGTGGGTGTACCATTCCATTATCGTAAAAAAATATATATATGTATACTGTATATCAAGTATTTTAAGTATTTTCTCCAATAAGAAAAACTGTCCTGATTATTTAGTGTAGAATTTTTTTAGTATATATATTACAGGCTATATATTACCTACAGGCTTTACTAGTCAGTTGTATTGAGAAACTTATAATCACTTGGCATAGTGTGTAACTGCAGCACATCAAAGCAAAAACGGTATGATATAAATTTATTTCAATATCTGGTATAAGGATGCTAATTTACATTCTTGTCAGGTATATAAATGAATAACGCGTTTAAAATGTGAACTCATGTAATTGTAAAGTTTCGATCAGAATAGCCGAGCTTATAGGATATAAATCTTAACAATAATACCAATTTATTATGCAATGATGAGTCATAAATATGCTTTATAATCAATGCTTTTTAGTATCAATCCCATCGTCTACCATTGTTACGTCTATCGATTACAATTCCAGTAGTTTCAAATAGTTAAATGACACTTCATTGTAGATACGGGATCTAATTCACGATTTCACCATTTCATTAGGTATTTGATACACGTGGAATTTTGCATTATTCGTTTCTTAGTCGTTCCCGTTACTCCCGCGCCGAGCAACATGCGCCAGCGATACCACCTCGCATTATTGTCACGCCTACACCACGTCGCTCCATGTTTCGTGACGCAGCAGCGGTTGCAGGCGGTGTCACAGTGGGCACAACTATGGTATGTTTTCAGACAATACAGACAGTTTAGCGCCTGGAAACTCGTAGATCGTTAACTAGTAATCTTCTGATACTGCTTTAGTATTTTTTGTTCTGTATAACCTATGTATAAATTTTCTGACTTTCATAAAAAGGCTAGCCATCTTGTGACAGTGCAGCTGCACTGTCACAACCCCATTGATTGTAGTATTTTGGTCAGTTTTCCTAGAAAAATAATTGTACAGGGTCATTTGGCGGGAGAAGCGATAACTAGCATGTTTGGTGGAGGCCGTCGGCAACAAGAGGTGGTACAGCAATTGCCGCGAGACTACCAACTGGGTTCGGATCCCAGTGGCCCTTGCGCGTACGAGATAGCGCAATTCTTGCAATGTGCTGCTAATCGCGAAAATTTGCAGGAGTGCGAAGCTTTTAATGAAGCGCTCAGGGAATGTAAGCGGCGGAATAGTAAGTAATATTAACATATATCAATAATACAAGATAAGCTCGGCCGTAGGCTACGGTAATCATTTACCATCAGATGGGCCGTATAATAATTTGCCACCATCGTAGTTTTAAAAAAAAAAGCATAATTAAGAACTTTCTATGCGATGCCTTGCCTCTTATTGCCATAAGTATATATATATATATATATATATATATATATATATATATATATATATATATATATATATATATATATATATATTATATTAGTACATTAACACTTTGTAGAAAGTAGATTTTGTTTCGTATGTACCAATCGTCATACCTGATGAGATCTAAGTAACAGATTTAGTCAATGTATACGGCAATTCATATTTTTCCTCTCCTTTGTTTCAGGAATACCATAGGACCTATGTAACTTTTAAAGAAAGCTCTAACTAACCATAATAAACTCAGCACAATAATAAAAGGTAACAGGATATATTTCTTTTAATTGTTCTCTTTTAAAGCTTACGTAAACGACTGGTATGTTACCATAGCAGTAGGTATGATGCAAAGAAAGGAAAATAAACAAAAACCAAAGGGCTTGACTAAACTAAGCAGTTTCGTAATATTAGGCTATCATCCTCATAGTAATAGTACCATCCTCCGATAAAAGTCTACTGAAGAGCTCGAGGCTCTGCAGTAGACTTTTGTTTTATAGCACAGGGAATAAACGAGCATGTGACACCCTTGATGGTAAGTGATTACCGCCGCCCATGAGCACCCGTAACACCAGGGGAATTGCAAGTGCGTTGCGGGCCATTTAAAAAGGAATAAGCTCTCTTCTTGAAGGTTTCAATATCGTGTCTGTTTGGAAATACCATTGAAAGCGTAAATTAAATTTGATTATGAGCACCGTGATTTATCCGTCGCAAGTATCTCCTTAATTAATTACGGCCTGTAAAAAAGCAATTTTCTATTTTGTATTAGTGTTCACAAAATAATATATATCTAGGTAGATAAACACGTTATATGATTCTATAGGTACTCATTTCATACAATATAATTACTAGTTGTTTAAACTGTTACTTTTATCGGCTGGGTTATATACGAACTATTCAATCATTCGTTATTGTCATTTACAGGTATATGCTATTTTAACTTTCAGATGTTTTACGAATTCGACAGCATGTCAGCATTCTCGACAAAAAGTCTCCCTGTTATTTTATGACATCACATATGTATTCTATTTTTGCTCTATGTATTTAAGCTCTGCCAATTTTCTGTAACTAATTTATCGGTGATATTTTTGCAATGGACACTAAAATTGTATGTATCTTTTATGCGTTTTCAAAATGAATGTCATTAATATCGGCAGTACTGACGTAGACAATCTTGATAGTTGTTCAGTTGTTATTCAGTTGTTACCAGTGCAACCACCTATCATTGATATTGTGGCTGGGTTTGCTCGTTCTTTTACCTCACTATAAATAATTTACGCGTCACATTAAAATTGTAGATTGTTTGAGACAATAAAAATATGGATATAGGATCTGATGAAATTAAAACAACAGAGTACAGGTGTATACATATAAACTTAAATTTTATTTACACCTTAGTACATACAAACTGTGACCCCTTTTTAGTATAAATAAAGATTCCATTGAAGTATGACGAACAAGAATATTTAATACAAGCTTTTGTAAATGGCTGTGACATATATACTTTGAGTATGGAAACGTTATTGTAAAATAAACATGGATATCTTCCGGAAAATAAGAATCTATACATAAACATTTATGTACAATATTTAACTAATCAGAATTTTTACAATTTGGCACATTTAGTTTTATACGAGTGTAAGGAATCCTTATATTTTAAATGCCTGTATGAAAATATTTCTTTGGAGTTGTGCTTGTGCAATATAAAGTTTATTTCATGTTACTGACCGGAAACAACATTAATCCCTAACAAATGATATAATGAATAGAAAACAAAAAATCATTTCTATACAATTATTGCAAATAGAGCAAAATATTTAACATTGTGACAGAAGACAACAATTAGAACTGTTATAACTGTGTGCAAAAGACAGCAAAAACATACGGCGTCCATACAATAAATAATTTACCATGTATTTTGTCAGTGGCAGAAATAATAAAAAAATTTAATATTCCCACTGTTATGTAAAATTTATCTTTTTATGCTATAGCTTTTATCATTTGTATATAGTTAGTATCTGTACCTATGCTACATTGTTCGGTATATGCGAGACCCGTTTTATTCTATTGTGAATTCGTTCGAAGATTCGTATATTCGTCTTAAATACTAAAATTCAACTAATAATACGTTCGAATGCTTAAACTAAATCAGTCTAATTCTTAAAGCGACATTATAATTATGTCTAACAGTAAAGCTAAAACAATGCTATAAATCACACACTGGAAAATTTAATATTGACAAAAAATAAGGCCACTAAGTTTCATGTTAATTTGCTTTGAAAGTTGAATTAACATTTATTGTTAAATTATAATATATAATATTATCAACTGGAAATAAGTTTACATTTTTACAATCAATTTTAATTCTAAGTTAATATGGCGGGTTACTAAATGTATGGAATTGAAATCTGATTTATTACGGAATTATTTTAAAACTTTCATCTCAATTTGTTACAAGATTTAAACAATAATTGAACACAATAATTCTAACAGTTAGTTATTTTATAGCATATTCTGTATACTTAACATTTCAATATAACATCACAAAACAATGCACCGGTGTTTAAATATTATCAAATAAACCAATGTAAACAATGGACTATACAAAGCCATAATTTCCAAAAATAATTTAAAGCTTATCACATATTTTTACACTCAGTGTAAATTCTCAAATACTCTATCTCTGTGAATATAGAACGGTTTTACATATTTGCTATTGTAAAGCGTGTCATAGTCATAACAGATTTACAAATTATTTAGCACATTTTTAACCTATAATAGCCCTATAAACATGTAAAATTTACAAAGATCTTTGTTCGCACCAGTATTAAGTTATCTATTTACATTGCGAAAAATATGACACAGAATTTTCTGATAGCATTTGGATTTGTCAAAGGTCGTCTCACGTAATAACTACGCGTGTAAAGTATCCAATATACTTCAGGCTTACGGTTGCACGTCACAACCGTGTTTCCCATAGAATCAGATGTGCGTCTTTGGGGTTGGGATCTGCGGCTGGCGCAGGTCTCTCCGCGGCATCAGCGGTCTGCCTCCAGTCTACATATCCTCGTCCGCCCACAATAGTCACTACCGACCTCCGGACCGCACTCTCTCCTACTATGTAATCAGCACCGCGGAGACTTCTTCCTGCGTTTTTAGGTGTCGGCCTTCGTTCGTTAGCTGTGGCGGAATCGCTCCGAGAAACTGAGCGCTCTGACGCTGTGGATTTTCCTGACGAAGAGTCCGGTGTAGATACAGCGACGGGTGCAAGTCCAGCTGCACCCGACGCTCCAGAACTGTTTCGGGAAACAGCGCGTAAAGCCATCGACTCCTCGCTTCCGGAAGACGTACAGAGACTGGAAGCGCGTGAATCTACAGACCAACTGGATAAATCGAGACTTCTTGGTCTTCCCGCCCGCATTCTCAATCTCCGATCGAGTGTGCTGACTCTGAAAGGAATCGCGGCCAATTCCGGATCACTTCGTCGCAATGCGTCTCCGCCCGATCCGCTCACATCTCCTTCGCCAACACAGTCTTTTACAAACATTAGGTCTCCAAACAAACCGTAAACATCACATGCATTCAAGTTTGCGCACTTTGGCAATGTTTTACTTAGTCGTACGTCTCCAGGCTTTTTCCTTCGCACAACCGCTGACTGTACGCGTTGCGGTCGGTACGGGCTAGATTCTTCTGATATCCGTCGTTCCAATTTGGGTTTTTCATTATCTTCTTTAGTTTCTTCCTCCTTGAATTCTTGAAGGGTAGTAGTGTCAGCGAGAGCCCGAGCGTTGGAGAGATTACGTCGAATAATGTTAACATCCACATCTCTTGACTCCGGTAATAAAGATAACAGGAATGTCACGGGGCCCGCGTGCGCGTGGTAAGCGACAGCAATATGTCCACCAATTAGCGGTAGGCCTTCTAATTTTGGTAGTGGCACTGTGACTGTGACGCCGGCTGTTGTTCCCACCCATAGTAATCCTTGTCCAGCAAGTAATGCGGACACGTAAGCCGGCTTGCTTCCTTCTCTGGCTCCGATAGTTTTCGCCACGTCTGCGGCTATGTCAATATTCTGTAAATGTTCAAAGGTCTCCGCATGGTATAGACTAACATAAGTAGAATCTGAGAAAGCTGTCCATAACCCAACACCAGAATGTGCTAAGTATCTAACAGAGCGGTTGTCGTCTCCTTTTAATTCTAGTATACGCATTATTTCTGCTGTGAGTGCATTTATGGCGAACACACGTCGAGCGCAAGTGGCGTAAATTATGCCATCAACAGGCAGGACACAGTACACGGGTTTGTCTCCTAGTTCAATAGCGAGAGGTTCTTGCAGCGCCCAGGAATCATCGTGATTCCTCCTGAAGACTGATACCCTGCCATTAGCGAGTCCGACAAACATGGAGTCGCAGTGGTAACGGATTTGAGTTACTGCAGCGATGGTATGGACTTCCGTCAGTTTCTCTTGCTTCTCTGGTTCTACGCCGGAGAATATGATGATCTTCTTATCCTCAGTGCCGAGCCAAACTGTGTCGCCGCACAGTGTGGTCACTTGTCGAAGTCCTTTTCCATATTCTATTGAGGTCACCTATAAAATGACAATAAATTGTAGTACATATTACCTTTAATTAGCCGAAACATACTTGAAATTAGATACTTAATCAGAGAAAGATAGGTATATAGAAATTTATAAAAGCATTTTGTTTATTATAATATATATATATATATATATATATATAAATATCCCCTTGGGCACTTTGTGGCTCAGACGTGCCGTATAGGTAGTTTTTTGTTGATCCTTTTTCACTTGTTGATCCGGAGGCCTTTTGTTGATCTAATGCCAGATGACCATATGTAAATGTTGCTCCGTTTTGAGCCACAACTGTCACGACGAGTAATAATAATAATTAAGCGATTTATACACGATTTTATACAAATCCACCTTTTTGGCATACGACCACTTCTTGATCCAATTCAAACGGGCCAATCAGGGTGCAGCATTTGCCAAGGGCTTCCTCATTGGCACGTTTGGGCTACTACATTATGGCTACAGTAACTTAATAATGTCTAGCTAGTATTTCAAGAATAATAGTCTATCTAATCTAAATATTTATAGAAATCAGTCTGGAGTAACGTGACTCCAGATCAAACCTCAATACTTGTTATTTTTTGGACGGGAATCTTTTCTTTTGTAACAACGTTACTGAGCGAATAAAGAGATGACGCAACGGCGGATCCAGGGGGGAGCGTCATGGAGGTCATGGGAGTCATGGGGGCGTCATGACTCTCCCCCCCCCCCCCCCCCCCCTTAGCCCAGAACTTAGGTAGACCACTAATTGAACTAAAAAATAATGAAACAGCAAATTTTTTTGCACGATCGGAGTGTTGGTGCAGTAGTATTAATTATAATTAAACATTGTTACTTAAAACATAACAGTTAAAGTACTATAACACTAAAAGCAAAATAGGTATTTTCAAAATACTTTTTCAAAATAAATTACCCTTTGAGTTTTTGTCCAAACCTCAGATATTTTATTTATTTTAGGTATATCAATCAATACATAGTATAGCATAGTACAGTCTGTCTGTCTGTCTGTTTGTTCCGGCTAATCTCTGAAATAGCTGGACCGATTTTGACGGGACTTTTTTGGCAAGTAGCTGATGTAATAAGGAGTAACTTACGCTACTGTTATTTTAGAAAAATAAAATAAAATTTCACGCGGACGAAGTCGCTGGGGCCAGCTAGTCTATAGATATACCGAGATTTAATGTTTAAGTTGCTATTATGTTATTGACAAAATTTTACTGTAATGTTTACTACATGCATATGAATATATATAAGGTACATATACCAAAATAACTATTTTTATAATTTTAGTCTGTCTGTCTGTCGGTCTGTTTGTTCCGGCTAATCTCTGAAATGGCTGGACCGATTTTGACGGTACTTTTTTTTGGCAGGTAGCTGATTTATAAGGAGTAACTTAGGTTACTTTTATTTTAGAAAAATAAAGTTAAATTCCACGCGGACGAAGTCGCGGGAACACCTTGTTTTTAATAAAAACATCTTTTTTGTGGTACTTGAGAATGTTGAATGTTGAAGCCAGTTGTTTGTAATATTGAAATAACCGTTTTTTACTACTTGCATATGAATATAAATACGGTACATACACCAAAATAACATATTTTACAATTTTTGTCTGTCTGTCTGTTTGTTCCGGCTAATCTCTGAAATGGCTGGACTGATTTTGACGGGACTTTTTTTGGCAGGTAGCTGATGTAATAAGGAGTAACTTAGGCTACTTTTATTTTAGAAAAATAAAGTTAAAAACCACGTGGACGAAGTCGCGGGAACAGCTAGTGTATAATATATTAGAGATACCTACGTGTTTTTTTATTGATGACTAGCTGTACACGGGATTTCGTCCGTGTTGAATTTAACTTTATTTTTCTAAAATATAAGAAGTTAAATTCCACGCGGACGAAGTCGCGTGTACAGCTAGTTGTCGGTAGTCTAGCGATTTAGCTAGCACACTGCTTTGATTCCTGCTTGGTGGTCGAGGGTTCGATTCCTCGCACGCTGCAAACATTTGTATTCATGAGTATGATTGTTTGTAACGGTCTGGGTGTTTTCTATGTATAGATAATATATATGTATTTACGAAAAAAAATCTTTGTATTTATATCAGTACCCATAACATAATCTTCAGCTAGCTTAACTTGGGTCTAGATGAAGCTGTGTGAATTGTCCTGAGATTACTATTATTACTATAATAAATCTTTTCAAATCAGCCGATGTTTATTTTTGCCATAATACGTGCTGTTACCATGTGATAATATTACGTACGTACTTATTAAACTATTAACTTATTATTAAATTATTAACTATTTATACTGTTTTAAATGTGATGCGTTCATTATTTATATTTCCTTTGAATTAAAGACAAATGTATATATATATATATATATTTATATACACTTGCACACTTAGTTGATCCAGCCACGATCCGTAGATATTGCTGATCCACTGTCTCTCTCTTTCTATCACTATCTTTGTATTCTAATATGCGATGTTGCCGTTCCGGCCGAGACCATGCGTTGTTGCCATGTATTCGTCGATAGTAGTAGATACTTATACTCGATATATATTTTTTCAACAATTTCCTGCAATAGTGAATCCGTATCGGCATTTTTTTTAAATGCACAAAGATTTTTTGGCTCTGAATATATTTAAAAATCATTTACTTGTGTGTTGATGAATTTATATACTAGTACATGAAGTACCTAATACTTGTTTTGATTTGAATAGGTAGCGATATTATGAATTTATTATACGTAATCTAAAGATTTTGACGAAATAAAAGTAATTAGTTATCTGTTAACCTTGACTTCATGCTGGCACCAGTATTATCAGATGATGAACATACTCTTCGAAAACTTACAGCAGAAATATCGTGTTTGGACTCATTAGATAGGTCTCGATGAATAGAGTTTAAAAAACTTAAAATAAATGGTAAATTAGAAATAATGTATAAAAACCCCTTACGTAAAATTCAACCACTTTAAACTTAATAATAATAATAATTAGGAAAAGAGAAAAGCTACATGCACTGAAAGTAATTGATGCCTTCCACACAATATTTTCAGTATTAAACAACTCTGTTTGTTCAGTAAAAGTGTAAATACACTGGTAACCTTTAATCATATTTTATATGCAAACATTACATATACAAACACTAAAGTTTTATTTCAGAATAGCCAGTAGTTTTCAAGAAATAAGTCTTTGAAATTGTACGTGTAACTTATATATATACCTACTAGTTTTTTCACCATAACAAACAACACCAATATGACCTAGTTAGTAGTTTACCTGTGTACCAATTAATAATAATAGTAATCTCAGGACAATTCATACAGCTTCATCTAGACCCAAGTTAAGCTAGCTGAAGATTATGTTATGGGTACTGATATAAATACAAAGATTTTTTTCGTAAATACATATATATTATCTATACATAGAAAACACCCAGACCGTTACAAACAATTTAATAATAAGTTAATAGTTTAATAAGTACGTACGTAATATTATCACATGGTAACAGCACGTATTATGGCAAAAATAAACATCGGCTGATTTGAAAAGATTTATTATAGTAATAATAGTAATCTCAGGACAATTCACACAGCTTCATCTAGACCCAAGTTAAGCTAGCTGAAGATTATGTTATGGGTACTGATATAAATACAAAGATTTTTTTTCGTAAATACATATATATTATCTATACATAGAAAACACCCAGACCGTTACAAACAATCATACTCATGAATACAAATGTTTGCAGCGTGCGAGGAATCGAACCCTCGACCACCAAGCAGGAATCAAAGCAGTGTGCTAGCTAAATCGCTAGACTACCGACAACTAGCTGTACACGCGACTTCGTCCGCGTGGAATTTAACTTCTTATATTTTAGAAAAATAAAGTTAAATTCAACACGGACGAAATCCCGTGTACAGCTAGTCATCAATAAAAAAACACGTAGGTATCTCTAATATATTATACACTAGCTGTTCCCGCGACTTCGTCCACGTGGTTTTTAACTTTATTTTTCTAAAATAAAAGTAGCCTAAGTTACTGCTTATTACATCAGCTACCTGCCAAAAAAAGTCCCGTCAAAATCGGTCCAGCCATTTCAGAGATTAGCCGGAACAAACAGACCGACGGACAAAAATTGTAAAATATGTTATTTTGGTGTATGTACCGTATTTATATTCATATGCAAGTAGTAAAAAACCGTTATTTCAATATTACAAACAACAGGCTTCAACATTCTCAAGTACCACAAAAAAGATGTTTTTTTATCAAATAAACAGTTTTTATTAAAAACAAGCTGTTCCCGCGACTTCGTCCACGTGGAATTAACTTTATTTTTCTAAAATAAAAGTAGCCTAAGTTACTCCTTATAAATCAGCTACCTGCCAAAAAAAGTACCGTCAAAATCGGTCCAGCCATTTCAGAGATTAGCCGGAACAAACAGACCGACAGACAGACAGACAAAAATTATAAAAATTGTTATTTTGGTATATGTACCTTATATATATTCATATGCATGTAGTAAAAAACGGTTTTTTCTATATTACAAACAGACACTCCAATTTTTATTAAATGTATAGATGTATAGAATATTATTTATTTATTTATTTATTCATCCAAAATAATACAAATTGTGTAGGATAACGTAATAGTAACATTACAGTAAAATTTTGTCAACAACATAATAGCAACTTAAACATTAAATCTCGGTATATCTATAGACTAGCTGGCCCCAGCGACTTCGTGCGCGTGAAATTTTATTTTATTTTTCTAAAATAACAGTAGCGTAAGTTACTCCTTATTACATCAGCTACTTGCCAAAAAAAGTCCCGTCAAAATCGGTCCAGCTATTTCAGAGATTAGCCGGAACAAACAGACAGACAGACAGACAAAACTTGTAAAATACGTTATTTTGGTGTATGTACCGTATTTATATTCATATGCAAGTAGTAAAAAACGGTTATTTCAATATTACAAACAGAAACTCCAATTTTATTTACATGTATAGATGTATAGATTAAAAAAAAGTAACAGTCATAAGGCTAGTCGTATGCCTAATATATATAATAATGTAATAAATTCATTTAAACAGAAATTGCGGCAACATTATTTAAATTTGTAACTTTTTTACTGTCCTTCTCCTTTTTTTCACATCTTTCTGTTATATCCATATAGTTCTCTCTATATTTTCTGTTTTTCTTACTTTCAATTTGAGACTGTACTTATAATTTGATTATCGGATCATTATGTATTTACTTATATATAATATTTATACATTTATGGGTTATATTTACATATATATTTATGTATGTATACTGTTATTTTTTTATAGAAATGTATATTTTGCTTATCTTTATTATCTTTATAAATCTTTTTTTGACATTTCTTATTTATATTAGTGCACCGCCAATAATCTTTCTCTGCACCACTCATGGTTGCCTGGTAAATAACGCGGCAAAATATTAAGTCCGCCACATGTACAAATTTTTTTGTGCATTAAAGTTAAAGAAATAAAAAAATACAATACTGTTTAATGAAAATGCGTGTTGTCTACTGCTTTGAGATGTATCAAAATAAGGTCAACAAAAAAGTCCGTGATGGTATATGTCTATCTCTTAAGGATAACCAACAATAACCATTTTTTATCTTTTACATTTTACGGGATTTTTTTTATCGTATGTTTCCCTTAAAATCATGTAAACTATGTTATTATGTCATAATCTAAAGAAATAATAATATTTTATAGTGACATATCCACTATAAAATACCAAAAAGTAGCAATGTAATTCGTTACGCGCGAATCAGGTGTTATAAGGTCAAAGGTCGGTGCACCCCGCGTATTTGATAAATAGTACTTCTCTGGATGTCTTTAAGAGAAAATGGCAGTATGTACGTGTATATGTACAAGTCCTTAAGTGTTAAGTTTTTCAAATGTACAATAAAGAATAAATATTTTTAAGTACAGTACTTACGTACATTAATATAATACCTACTTTTTACTTGTATCTATTGTTATCAAAATTAAATTATAAGTTCTTAACTTGACCACGACTATGTGACCCTCTCTTGGCGCCAAAACGAGTGAAAAAATGAACAGCATACGACGACGACGCAGTAGCTATAGAGTGGAGCAACTGCTTATTCAGTTTTATTCAACTATTTAGTCCCTCCACCGTTACAATGAATGGAGGCGGATATTACAATGTACGTAGCATTGCGAATATAAAATATCTAGATTAGGTATAATAAATTCATAATTCATAGGCCGTTACGGTATCAGAGCCAAAGTCTTCTTTCTTTGTTTCTGTACTGTTAGATGCGACAGCGACTTTGTTTTTATATTACTATGTAATGATTGATATACCTAAAATAAATAAAATATCTGAGGTTTGGACAAAAATTCAAAAGGTACTTAATTTTTAAAAAGTATTTTGAAAATACCTATTTTGCATTTAGTATTTGAAATACAAAACACAAAACTATTTTTGTTTTTAGAGTGACATTTCTATGAATTCACTGTCGATAGCGAGCGGTGCGATGGAAAAAGATAACCGTTTATAAAAATATAATAAATAACCCTGGACAATTAACACAGACTGATACTGAACTGATATAAATAGATATTTTTATTTTGTAAATACATATATAATATAACCCAGACCGATGAAAACAATCGATGACCGATGAGTACAAATGTTTGCATCGTGCGAGAAATCGAACCCGCGACCATCGGATGTAAAGCGGTGTGACCACCGAGGCAGTCGAAATATATAAATAATCTTATGAATTTAATTTATTCTAATTTGTTTATGTGCGCGGGGTGCGGTGTACGGTGCTCCCCCCTGCCTCCACCGTTGCTGGAGCTTGCATGTACGGAGCATTGCGAATATAAAATATCTAGATTAGTAAATTCATAATTGATAGACCGTTACGGTATCTATATATATTCGGATTAAAATAAGTATCGCAGTAAGGACCAGTATATAAAGTGATCAACACAATTAACTGATTTTTGAAATATATATACAGAGCCAAAAAGTCTTTGTGTATTCAAAAAATATCTAATTTGTTTGTGTGCGCGGGGTGCGGTGTACGGTGCAGGGGGACCCTGCCTCCACCGTTGCTGGAGCTTGCATGTATGGAGCATTGCGAATATAAAATATCTACATTAGTAAATTAATAAATTCATAATTGATAGACCGTTACGGTATCTATATATATTCGGATGAAAGTAAGTATCGCAGTAAGGACGAGTATATAAAGTGATCAACATAATTAATTGATTTTTGGAATATATTCAGAGCCAAAAAGTCTTTGTGTATACCAAAAATTTAGCCGTTCGGAGCCATTCAGTCACGAATTATTAGTAAAAAAAGTGTCGAGTATATCGTACTATCGACGAATATATATGGCCACATCGCAAAATAGAATGCGACGTTGCCATACCGCCTGAGATATACGCGATAGGAGTCAAGTTATTCAGTGCAAAAGGTGGAATCAGCAAGTGTGTAGGTTGTGGCGTGATCAACAAAGTGCCCAAAGAGGTGTTTATATATATATATATATATATGCCTCGACCAGTTGGCATAAACGTAATACACATTTTGTTAGGTCTATATCTATATAAATTGACCGCCTCCGTGGTATAGCGGTCTATCACCCCGCCATGCTTTGAAATTCTTCTGATTGAAGATTCTTCACACATTTTCATATGGTGTTTTTGCTGTTCTCTATGTATATGTATATATGAATTTACAAGTTCCTTAAGTATTTACAAAAGTAGAAATTATTTAAGTTATTTCTACCAGAGTGCGAATTTGTGAATTGTCCAGGGTTATTATTATTAAATACAAAAGAAATCTGGTATAAATATATTTTTTTATTAAACCAAAGCACAAACACATCTGTGAAATAGAAAAAATAGAAAACTAATTCTCATCTTAAGAGGATAAACCCGTGACCAGTAGAAGCAAGATAACCTGTTGCCTTGAACATAATATCTGTTCTATTAGACACATATCTCGGAAAGGAGCCCGCAGAGTGAGCCACTGCCGTCTGGTGGTCTGGGTTCGATTCCGCAACTCCGGCACATGGCTTTGACGACGGTCATCTTGGAGTTGCTAGTGAATAGGAAATCTTACAGTACGCGCTTTATTAAATAGTAAAGTAATATCCGTCGCTTTGTGGCGACATATTTTTGGCTATGTGACACAGTATCCGCATGGATGTCCATGAGGGATTTTCTTCAAGTAAAAAAAAGGCACGTACCTTGGTGTCGGGTAGGTCAAGCGTGACCAGGGTCTTGAGCTTGGCGGCGCGGTGCGTGAGTACGGCCACGTGGCTGTCGGCCGCGCCGCCCGCGCTCACCCACAGCAGCGCGCGAGACCGCCGCGACGGGCCCCCGCCCGACACACCCGCGCTACCGCTCGACGTGTAGAAGCACCCACAACGCACCTATCACACAATCGCTATTGTTCACTTGTGTACTTTGAAATGCTAATATATTTGATATAACTACCTAAACAATATATATAAAAGTGAAAAATTGTAAATAATAAACATAGTCCTAAATAAGAAAGAATTATAAAAGGTCTGTCGCCAACAATCGCCAACTTAATTTTATGTACGTCAGCGGAGAATCTAACTACATTCGTGCGTGTCTAACTACAATAGGTGAATTGAAACAAACGCGCTAACATGCGGCAAAAAGTGACCACAAAAAATAGTACTGGCTGGCTTTTTTTTGTTAAATCGTGAATGAAAGAATGTATTGGAAAGCAAATCGTAAAGGCAACTATTGAAAGTGTAAATATTTGTTCCAATTTTGAACTACGCTTCGACGTTTTAAAAACAACGTTTTAGGTCACCTCTGTCAAGTGCTTGGAGTTGTAGACGGGCGTGGCGGCGACGAAGAGCGGCATCTTGTGCGCGGGCGGCGAGGCGGGCGGCGAGGCGGGCAGGCGCCAGGCGGGCGAGTTGGCGGAGGCCTGCGCGAGCTGCGCCAGCCGCAGCTCCGTGGCCCACGCCAGCCGCGCGCCCGGCTCGCGCGCGCGGAACGTCACCGGCTCCTCGCGCCCGCGCACCGCCAGCTGCAGGCAGCACGAGTCCACCCACGCCATCTCGTCGTCCTTCCTCTGCGGCAACCAACATTAATCTCAATGCCTTTTCCACTGACTACAAACATGAGATTCTCCTTTCATCGTGCCTACACTCGTAATATTTCCTTCTATTCCGGCAACCAATATAATATATACATTAATTCATTATCTTTTGCACTGACGAAAACACGACATTCTCTATATTCCATTATAGGTATTCTAAAAATGTAGATGTATCATTTTAAATAATTATCAACATTCTGCACTTAAGTGTGCGAAATTCCACACGGAGAGGATGTCAGCGCAACTTTTGTAAATAGCGATACAAGTTTTTGCTGCACATACTAATAAAACAATTTTCTGAATTCGGACATTCAGTAAAATATCAGAAAATTACAATACTTGAAAAAGTGAAAGTACATTAAGTAATCAACATTCGAAAACAAATCTTTTAAACAAAGAAAAGAAATCTAAAATTGTTTGCTGTATAGGACAAAGAGTAATATAAAAAAGCCAACCTGTATACTTTGCTGTATATTTTGCAATAAGGTCCTGAATATCTCAGGCGCTAGTTCTGAGTACGACGAGCGGAGTGATGCGGCGAGGTCGGCCATACGTGACACAGTCTCGTAATCGTGCATCAGCGTCGACATCTCGTTGCACAGAGAATCCGCCGTCGATGTGTTCAGGTGGCCGTTGCTGCTAGAGTTAGACCGTAGACTGCCGCTGCGGTTCATTCCTATCAAACAATTATGAACCTTTTATAAATTAGTATGGGAAATAGCAAAGATGGAGAACTATTCAATAATAATTAGCCAAGTAATTATATAAAAAAAAAAAAATTAATAAGGTAGTCCTTATAGATTATGTATGTATAAGGAAGTAGTTTCTGCGTGAAAGAGTAATAAACATCCATTGATACTCACAAACTGTCGCGTTTATAATATTACTATTATTAATATAGCTGTACCCACGGCTTCGACCGCGTGAAGTTTATAGCCTGTGTATTCTGATGTATAAGCTACATTACTGTAAAATTTCATGAAAATCCAGTAGTTTTTGCGTGAAAGAGTTACAAACATCTATATTTACAAACTTTCGCGTTTATTATATCATTAATTTATATATTATATATTTTAAATATATTTTTAATAAGATTAAGATTGGTGTTGCAGAAACGAACCTTGTGCTAGCACGCGGCTGAGCGTGGGCGAGGTGCCGGTGTCGACCACTTCCACGTCCTGCACGGGGTGCGCCCACTTGAGCCCGAGCCGCTCGCCGTCGTCGCCGCCGCCGCCCGCGCCGCCCACCGACACGCACACCACCAGATCATTGAGCAGCAACAGACGCCGAGGCTTGCACTTCGACACGCTACCCAGCTGATTGAATTCCTGTCGAACACAGGGTTATTTTACATACTATAACTTTACATGTACGCTCTTTTACGCAGGAATGTATGGGCAAATGTAGACAAAGAGAATGAGAATGACCTCACGCACCGCCAGTTCGCGCATTGCCGCGTTCTGTAATCGTAAATGCGCATTGCGTGAGCGCATTTTTATTATAATTATTATTGCAAAATGGAGGGCAGGCATCAAACTATAAGTAAAGATTTGTAAATCTTAAACGAGTGTTTGGAAAACAAAATTTAAAAGAAGACGAAATGATTTCACGAACCAAAGGGTGATCACAAGATTAAAATAAAATAATTGTTTAAAATTTATATTGAGATTAGACTTTGAAGTAAGCATTCACTACATACATTCGCTTATTATTTTGTCTATATGGTACATATAAAGAAATTAAACTGCCTAAAAAGTTTCACGAAGATGCAATTTCGACTGCGAAACATGTGATATTAACTGCAACACCACATGTATGATACTTTAAACATACCGTATAATTTCCGGTTTGAGTACAAAGTCTTAAAACATAGTAAGTATATTAGGGTGTGTACGGACCAGTTGCACCAGGTCGTCTTGCCGCAGCAGATGGCGCTTGTCTGCGCGGGAGGCCAGCAGTCGAGCGGCGCCGAACCTAGCAGCGCCGCCCGCGCCGCCCGCCCCGGTCACGCCGCCGCGCGTCAGTCTGCGCAACGCCGCGCGGAATGCCTATACAACGCAAATAGATAATTATTTTTCCTTCTTAGTTATTTTTAATACAACAAAAATAAGTTTGTCTAACTTTATTAACAGGAAACTAACACATTCCAAATCTATGTTTCATTATATTGAGTATCTGTGTATTGTTGGGTTGCAGTCTTTGATATAGAGGAATACATTTCTTATACATTAATTCATACAGAAAATAAATAAATTACCTTATTTAAAAAATGTACAGTAAGAAATACGACGAAAAGGACAAATAAATATCCGTAATTCTGTACCAATTTATTATCAGTAGTTTAATGCTGTTTTTTTAAAAACTACACTTTGCCTGTGTACTTTAGTGGTCACGTTGTTATTTTGGCGTTTGTTTACAATTCACACTTTACAAACAGGATTTTTACCGTGACTAAGCTGTATGTAACAACGTTAAAATATCGGGAGCTCATAAATAATATCATGGTAAATATCTAGTAGTAGTTTACATAATGTCTATAATTATATATTTTAATTAATTATACCTGAGTTCTCTCGGCGTCACGTTTTCTCTCGTTAAGCGCGTCAGCAAGCGCCTCCAGTCTGGTCAAAGCGCGTTGGAGCGCGACGCGATCCACGTGCCCAGGAGGAGTGTGTTTTAGGAGATCCTACAATAAATAAAAGCCATGTAAAATTCTATCCATCGAAGCTAAACCATGTCATACATTTAAAACCTTCATAAAATTGTTTTTAAATTATTATGAAAACTAATTGTTTTTTGTACAAACATAGACAGATAACATAAAGCCATATATAGATAACGTAAGTATATCAATGTATATGAAACTATTAAGCTAGCTTTTTCAATACAACATATCTCTGGATATTGAAACTTTAAATTTAGACATATTTTATATCTCATATACACATAAAACTCTGAATTGAAAATTGCGAAGGTCAGTTGTGTGATACCAATTCATGGTACAAAATTTATTTCGTAAACATAACATGTCATTACATAAATTTTATACCCTAAATTGCCATATTTACGCATATCCGTATTCTTAGTGGAATAAGTTTCGCAAGTTTCAAGTTTAAGCAAGAGACATTCGAATTAAAAAAAATATATACCAAATATTTTATTATACATTAATTGTTGGAATTTAGGGGAATTTATGTTTAGAAAGAACATCCTATAAAGATAGAGGCATTATACAAGTATATCCTGCAATAATTGTAATAAAAACAGTCATGGCACCATTAGTAATACCTAATAATAAAAGTTTTTAACGCGCACTAAAAAGTAGTAAAAGAAGACTTTATAAGGATGTGTAGTTATTATTTATCGATCTTTTACAGCTGGTAAATGTCAGTCAAAAAATATATTGCAATTCTTATGTGGCATACATCTATCATATCTTTTGTGGTATACACAGCTTTTGTTATACAGATTACACAGACACATTCAGGTCATAGCATTGGTTTGGAATTTTAACTTTGATGTGAATTGTTGAAAACGGTGTTGCGTCAACAATAATAAATTTTATAAATAACAGTTGTTACGGAAGGATGGACTGTATTAAGGACTGGTTAAAAATGAGACACGTTCTTAGGTGAGGTAAAATAGCTGTAATCAGCTCGCTAGCAAAAATATAAAGACAATATGGCATAAGAAAACAAATAGTATACAAAAACAGAACGTCAAAATATAAAATTCAAATATATATAAAAAACATAAAAACTATCAAAAAGATTGCCATCGGCAACAACAGTCCTTCCCGACTTCGTCTGGGTCTAACAAAATATAACCATACTAATATTATAAATAAGAAAGTATGTATCTTTTTTTATGTAAATGAAATGACAAACAAGCTGACGGTAAGTGGTAAGCATCGCCTATATATGTACATAAACCGTATCACGTACGATTAATGATCAGGTGACCCCTTGATATCACTTATGGGGGTCTTCCTATGTGACGGCCTGTTTTTTAGGGATATTTTAGGATTTTTTTTCTACGACCAGTAAATATTTAGAGCTTCAAGTTTTTTATCATTTATTAACACATATTTGGACAGTATAAATATAAAATTTCAGCTAAAAATATTCAGTCAAACTAGAGTTACAGCGCTCTGAACACCCCCGCCTCGAAAAAAAGAGCTCCCACTTCCTCCACGATTCCGGCTGATCGGCTTATCTGAAAAAAAAAAAAACGGCGTTTTAATTTGTAGGCTTAAAAGCACGGAATGACCTATAATCAAATGAATATAAAAAAAATTGGATTTTTGATAGACATTTGAAATAAAAGTTGCAAATTAGGCGTTTTTTTTTTTTGTTTTTTGCTATAAAAAAATCGAAGTTTTGAAAATTTTCGATTGATAATAGTTCATTCCATGCGTTTACATATATTGAGTGTGCCCTGTAAATTTCAAGTAATTCGGTCCAGCCGTTTCTGAGATACAATGGAGGAAAGTTTGAAAAACACAGTTTTGAGAAAAACGCGTTTAAAGTTTCAAGTCCGTTAAAAACTATTAAAATATCAACTTACTCTCAATCGGCGATGCCTGGTCCATAGAGTATTCCTTCCTCTTCCTCGTGAAACTCTTTTAAAGCAGATTGTTCAGCTCTTGAGTCAATCCTGGCTTGTTTAACGACATCACTTACGCGCCGCTCAGAGCGTAAGATTCGCTTTTCATCCCGTTTCTCAACATACGCTTGGGCTTCACGACCAACAGGGCATCCCATAATCGACATAACTTTTAAAATACCTTGAAAACCTTCATTAAAGATAATAACTGCTAAGTAGCTAGCAATTTCAACAACTTTGGGACCAGAATGAAGATGTTTAGGAGCGAAAGTCCAAATCAAAGAATTCAAAGATTCGTTATTGTTTTGTGTCTCTGCTCCTAAACAACGAATTAATAATTCGTCTTTCGATAAATCTTCGAAAACCGGTTTGATAGCTTCTTGGACTTGCGGAATTAGAGGTGGTTTATCGTGATGAAATTGGTCCAGTTCATTATTAGCTTCAGCCTTACGCCATTTACACCAACTGTCTTCGCCTTCTGGACAAAATTGATGTTGAGGGTTTTCATCAGAAGAACATTTGTGATAGTACGTTGCCCAAACTTCCTTTCTCATATAAAATAATTTGTAGCTGTTGCTCTCTTCGAAGTTCAACCAAGACTAAAATAACTTCGGTAAAATATTATAACAATAGAAATTTCTGTTTAAGTCTGTAGAAACGTGTCTAAACTTGTATAAACAAATATATTAATAAAAGGGAGGCCAGGTATAAAGCCGACAGTACACAATAGGCCCGGTCTCTAACTGCCAACTCACTCACCGCTCCGAACCGCTCTTTCTTTTACCTGCTGTATCTTTAAAACGACTTCGAATTTTCTAAAATCGCTTTACTACCGTATTCTAGACATGTTAAGGGAGCAATTTATGAAAAAAAAAAAATCGATTTTTTCAACCCATCACATAGGAAGACCCCCTTATGTGCTGCCGTTCAGGAGGACTAAGATGTCTTGGCTTGGCGGCTGAAATAGGAGGCAGACCCATGCAGACGACTTTTTAAAGTACTCTCTGTAGTACTCAGTGTATTTGTTTCTTACCTTTTCACATCTAAACGGCTAAACGGATATTAATGAAATTTGACGTGAAGATATACGAGAACGGACAAAGACTACTTCTTATCTCAAAGTTTATATGGGGTCCAGGAATAATGTATACATCGAACTGTGCAATAATTTTTAAAATATATGTAATGATTTCTACGTTCAAACTGAGAAAATTCGGTTTCTTAAGAGTATTACAGAGTTAAATCACCGCAACAGGTGTTCAAAATTCCGTTCCTAGTAGCTTAATAAATTTGGTATAGTATAAATATTTATATTAATGATCTCATGAATGAAAATATAGTGTACGAATATAATTAAATATGTAACAATAATGAATGGGGTTATGTTTTGTTTAACAGGTTTCATTGTAACCGGTTAGGGTCAATAAAATTTCAATAGCTCAATCAAATTAACACATTTGGAACATAAAGTATTGTAAAGCTGTTGTCTTAAATGAATATAATGAATTAATTCAGATAAAACATATTTACTGAGACATATATTATTGATGATTTATACCGTCATGGCTCAGTAAATGTATATGTACATAATTAGTGTCAACAGGTGAGATTTTATTGACTATATCTATTAAAATAAAAACATTAAACGTGAGCTGTTGCTGAGTTTATACATTATACCTACATATTATATAGCGTTTACTGATTGCTATTCAGTCGTGTAACTCGTGTATAAGGTGACACCTTATTTTATTACGTTATCGTAATATAAAATATATTTTTTTATTATTTCTATAGTACCGAGCGAAACCGGGTCTGGTATATTCATATAATATTACAAATATTTTAAGTGGAGACTAACAAAGCTAAAAACTCTACTGATGTACGCTTTGTACAAAGTCGTCTACGTACTTCTATCTCATTTATTTCATTCGCCATTCCATCCGGCTTGTTTTGTTCGGTTTAAATAAGAGAGGGATAAGACAGTGAAATTCCAAAGTACGGCTGCATTACGTTATCCTCCGGAATGACAACACAATGGATATTTTTTTTATTATTTATTTATTGGGATAACCAACAGCTACAAGAAACAACTTATTATATGTGGATAAGCCAATAATAGGTCTCCAAACATAACTATTGTATATAACAACAAGCACTAGAAACTGCAACAGTATTAATAAAAATGTATCACTAATGATAAAAAAAAATACTTGAAACGTCAATTACAGTACCTGCAGAAACATAATGAACTGCGGGAACCGCTGCACTGGCTTCACCATCAGACCGAAGAACGAGAGCCGGTCGTGAGCGCTGATCTGCTTCACCTTGAAGAAGTCGGCAAACGCTGACTTGCGCTTGGACTCCATCTTGGCTAACTCCATTGCCACAGAGAAGTTGTTTATAAAGTCAGAGTACACATCCAGCACCACCGCTTTTGAGAATGCATTTAAAAAGACCTCGCCTGAAAATAGGACACATTTAATTGAATAGAATTATTTAGAAAATGAAAAAAATTTTTTTTTTTAAGACATTATTTTTAACATGGTTATTGATGACAAATTTTAATATAAGTGTAAGAATGTCTAACTAATTTCTATTTTTTTTTAGGTTTTTTTATTATAAATATATAATAATAATAATAATGCTTTATTTGTACAACCACAATATTACAAAATTAAAAAGGAGGGTACATAATAGTTCATTAGCTAGGTATTGTTCGAATTCGAATCCATGTTTTTTAAATAAAGTTGTGTATTGAATGAATATGAATCAAATTCTTTTTTAATAAAAAGTTGATCTCGTAGATTGTTTAAGATAAGATTTTTCAATATTATTATTTTATTAATTCAATCGTAATAGAATATTTTAACGTATATTTAAAAAAAATACTATGAAAACGAAAATTCATTAACTAAACACGATAGAAGACATATTATTGTATCTAGTTTTATACCATGAACAAATATTGAATGTCAATTTTATTATAAGAATACAATATAAAATATGTTGAAATAAATCATATTTTCAAGTTGAACAAAAAATTACGACACGATTAAACATTTTTATTTTGAGGTTTGAGCAATGTACACAAATGTTTAAATATTGGCGACTGCCTGACTGAAGGTTAAGTCAACTTCGTAGCAGGTCACACAAACATATTAGTTAAATATTTATATTTATCTGAATTGCCACATAAGCACATGACAATCAGGTAAATTTTGAGATGGTGTGTACTGTAAATCTGATAGGCTTATAATAAATAGTTAGTATAAATAAATAATTTAACTCTCAGGATTCTGATGTATGTATAAGAGCTTGGTTTGCCCTATTTAAATTTTATAGTGAATTATATAAATGAATGCACGCATAACAAATGAACGACTTAAATAGTAACTACCTAAATAGAAGATGTGGATGCTAGATGTAAAAGTCGCCTTACAATTTATAAATTCAACATGCAATATGTGACCAAAATGAATATAGTTTTCTTCATTACCTATTTTTTCATCGCGGTCCCATGTTCTCGCGCAGTCAGCAAGCGCGGTGCGGAAGTGTAGGTGACATTGTAAGATATCAGGCAGTCGGTGGAACAGCGTCTGGATTTTGCTAGCGTTCAGGATAGCAGGGCTGCTTTCTTCCAGCGGTTTCTTGTAGTCCTGTGTACAATATTACATAATATTGATTATAAGAGCTCTTTTATATAGATAGAATGAATAACAAATTAGCTGACAGTGTGTTTAGTCTTCTTTTTCATGTCAATGGTATCAAACTTTATTATTACCAGAATTAATTAATTATTATAGCGACGTCTTTTGCGCATTCGGTCACATTTTTTCACTTTCATTCATTTTTAGGTGTACCTTTGTGCAGGAAGGAAAGGAAGATAGACACAAAAACTGTTTTTTGTTTTATATATTTAGTAATAAAAAAGTGTATGTAAATAATGAATATTATAGGCTAAGGACACGACATACTTAATTTTGCGGGAACGATTCGAATGAAATGTGGTACACATAGATTAGCACATTGAATATTTTTGGATACTCTCGCGTGCAGCGAGATAAAGCCAGTATTTAAATATTCAGATTCTCTATGAATCTGGATTATAATATAGCAATAATATAATAAGCAAATTAACATTAAAAACATACATAAAACATCTCGAGCATTCAGAATTTATTAAGAAAATTATTAATCATATAAATATTAAATGTTTATTATAATACCGGAAAAACCACAGACTTTATAATGAATTTAATGCAGATAATATATATGTATAGAATGTGTAGAAATAATATACGTGTATTGCATATATATATATAGATATTATTTCTGAGAATATAAGTAAATGTAAGGACAGTTTTTCTCAAAAATTTTAGATGTTTCAAGATATTTTATCAAAGACTATGAAATTTATTCAGTGCAAAGAAGTCCGTATCGTAGACGGTACGTAGAACATTAGCATTCTAATTCAGGCTACGTTAAGATAAAAGAAAATAATAAATATTAAATAAGACATTTCCAGAAACTGTAATGTTAAAGACATATACAGATAAGGATGTAACAAAAATATAATAAATGACAGCATTATACTTATTCAAAACGATGAATTCACAACTCGCACTGTGTGATAACGAGATGGAAATAAAAACAAACTCGGAGGTAATGTACTGGCGTCATCTCTTAAAATAGGTAAGTAGCAGAGTTTGCATCTACGAGTACTATAAACACACTTTAAGTATGGACCTTGTATATAAAGCACGTGTCCATTGATTGTACATGCGTTTATATTATTACTTTCAACTAAATCAAATAATGAATAAATGAAATAATGGTGAGGATGATCTGACGTGAAAATAAGGGTTTTCTCTGTTCATTGGTTTTTTGTTTAATAATTTGTTACCTCATAGAATTGATTAATCACATTTAACGACCACCTCTATTGCATTATTTTAGTATGTACCTTTATTTAATTTAGCTGACCTTTTTTTATAAAAATATAAATGACAATGCCCTTGGCAGCTTTTAGATACCCTTGAAAGAATGTTTCCTGATGCTATCTTTAAGTAAAATATCGAAAAAAAAAGTGTGTTAAGACGGAGAAAACAGGTTAAATACGCCATGATGGCAACAACGACCCTGACATCAAATGTTGTTGATTGATCAAACAAGAACAATCAAGGTTTAATACTAAAGCTCGTTTATAAGCAGTACGAGTTCTCTATAAGACCAGTCGGTCTACTCTGGAAACTAATTCCGATCCAATGACATTGGATTATGCCGTCTCATAGTTTTATATTTTTCCCATACACAGTATAATGTATTAAATACTAATATTAAGCCGTATATATGGGATGACAGTATCAGTTTATTCTTTAACTGAACTCATATCATTTAGAGTTCTTTGAACTTTTATGAAAATTATTTGAACAATGAGTTCAGAGAACAATATTAGTTATATTATATCTCTTTTTATTTAGTTTAGTTTTGATTAAAAAATTAGTACAACAATGGATTGGTTTTTAATCGCTATTGAGATTAGACTAGAATGTAGAGCTACCGTACCAGGCTTTATATCAAATTTTGTTTCTTTCACTAGTGTATTCTGCTTTGCTTAATAATTTATTTAAACTTACGGAGAGAGATCTAAAGGCCAAAACAGACGTAAACGCAAACTCATTTATTTACCTAGGATCTTTCGGCCTCTTGTGCACGTCATATTTTTATCATTAACCCTACCGCTCACTTCGCCTACCTAGTTCAGGTGAGAAGAACTGACAAGACATTGAATTGGTATACATTTTTTGGTCAGTTTAAATCAATCATATTACATATAGTAGTATATAATAGCTATATAAATAAATAGAAACAGTAACTGTCCCATATACCTTATTTTAGCTAAATGTGTTTTACGCTCTACAATTATCGATGAATAATTGTAAGTGAACTTGTAGCGGTAAGTCAAGTTAACACAGGACACCATGATGTCATGTTTCGAGTACCTATTTAATAATCACGCAAATTGTCACTTGAATACAATGGACACACGTCTTAATGCCAAGGAATTATTACCGGTAGTTGTGTACGTACGTGTGACGAAATACCTACAGAAATATAAAATTTCCGATTTAGTACTGTATAACAATAACGTACGTAAAATATGATGGCTTCGTTGGTCCAGCGGTTGAACACACCGTCTTACTTTCGATGGTCGCGGGTTCGGCGGATTACTCGCTCGATACAAACATTTGTTCATGAGTATTTTTGTATTTGTTTGGTTGTAATATAAGTATTTATATCAGTTGTATCATCTATAACACTATTTAGCTTGGAACTAGATGGCGCTGTGTAATTTGTTTTGGGTTATTATTACTATTATTAACAGATAAACAAACGGTCATTCTTCTGTTACTAGAATCGTTTAAGCGCGTCGTGATCACGTTTATCGACGACTATGATCATCAAACGTTGACTGGTCAACTAGGTGAAGGATGGTAACAGCTAATCCATAACGTTAGATATTGCCAGTGTGTATTGTGAAGTCATTTTGACAGTTATTACTACTTTTCAATCTTGATATGCTGTAGAGGTAGTGGCAGAGGTGACAATTTGAACCTAATTATCTGCACAAATTAAGGAGCTGGCTATGTGATTTGTTCACGTAAAGTTGTTGCAAATAATTATTGTTAAAACAGATAAAGAATATTAAATTTCTTTTACTGTGTAATTATATTTCTAACTGCAAATATATAATCGTAAAATCACCAACTATGTGAATGATGAAAGATGCCACATTAACATAGCAATAATCGCTAAAATGTCAATTATAATTTGCTTGAAACAACATTTGTTACTTAAATAGAGCCAAATAAAATGTGATTGTAACTTATTAGTAGTAACTAACGATTTAAAATTAGTTTTCGCAAAAATAACCTTGGGTTCAATTTTATTTACAGGCTGGACGACAAAACAATACGTTGATGGTAAGCGATTGTCTATGAAGATTAGACATACTTAAGTAGTTGCCAATGTTTATTCTCTATTAACTAATGAGATTCAGAACAAACTCAATTTAAAAATCCAATAATTTTCTATCGTTTATCATAACAGAGCTAGTAATTTTGCAAATTACCGGCTGGCCTTATCGTTAACTCTAGTGACAATGCAGACGATGTATGTAGAGACAAAAACTAATTCGCCACATCAACGGTCGGCGCCATTTAATGAAACAGTGACGACCTCGTGGAACTAGCAAATACAAATACTGACTATTCAATGTGCCCCACTTCCTAATATGCAAATCTGTAACATGTGAATTGTGGGCGAAACAATACAGAAGTGGGCCAGACAGGTACCTATTTACATATATGTTCAGATTTTTGACATATGTACTAACTTTTGTTTCATAGAATAACAATGATAGATAGTTAGCTTCAAATACTAACGAAAAGAAAGCTACAACTTATAAACATTAAACAATATGAATATTGAAAGTGACTACGACCGCGACGTTATGTTGACATAAAAAGCTTTCTTACTGAGTTACTGACATTACTTTGACATCTGAACAATAACGGTTGGCGCCAAACAATTCAATTCAATTTTTAAATCATCCTGGGAATCCTAATTTAATCGAGAACAATGCCTGTGTGATTTTATTACTGAACTATTTTTTAAACAAGCGCATAGACCGTTTATTTGAGAGGCATTATTAAAATGAGATATACTATTTATGTGCTTTAGCTACTGACATAATAATTTATTTATTATTGCGATCTCATTCCAGTCTAATATAACATAACATTATATAATATGATATAAAAATGCGGTGGCCATTTAGCAGCACTCTCAAACCACTTTCCGAACAGCAAATCTCATTAATAAACACTCGGCAACATCTGTTAAATAGCAGTTTTGCAACTGTCAGCTTACGATTTAATTAGCTGTACTGTCAGGTCTGTCACACCTCTGTACGACCACGAACAGAAGTGCCAACATGCTATCAATCTACTTGACGAATTGCATAATAGGAACTGCCTCTTTATGGGCTGCATTTGTAATTGGTTATTGCCATTAAACTTCCTTCCTGATCACGAATTTCGCCGGAGTCATGAGAAAATGTCAGCGTGTGTTACATTGTGGCTATGGGATCCGAGATGTTCAGATAGCAAAGGAAACCGGTTTGCGATTTAGCGGTTTGTATTTGTGTATTAGCAAGCGGCTGAGCTTGTTGACAATGTACCTATTTCGGTTGGTCATAATTGCGCAAAGCAAATATTTGAAACAATTGTGTGCGAGTAATTACTGTTGTGTTTAGTTCTTACGATAAACATTGCTAACCGTTTATTTAACATTTGCAGTCTGTTGGTACTGTAATGTACCTTTATTTAATTATAGCCACCTGTGCACGTACATTGCAATTTTTCCAATATCAAATAAAATGGTTGTTGAAATTGCGAAATGTATAAAAGCATACATGCCGGTGCATATGATATAACATACTGTAATCGCGTTTATATTGTTAATTACACAATAAAGCTAGCAATAAAGAATAACTTGTATTTTAACGTAACGTATTTATTATTACAGAAATAAATTATTATTAATATTATAAACGCGAAATTATGCGAGTATGGATGGCAGTTTGTTACTTTTTTACGCAAAAACAACTGAACGGATTTTATTGAAACTTTACAGTAAAATAGCTTACACATCAGAATAACATATAGGTAGGCTATAACTTTCACGCGGGTGAAGTCGCGGACACAGCTAGTACTAAATAAAGTAGTAAGACTTGGAATAACATTATTAACGTAAAATTCCAAAATTCACAAGAGTATTTTCATGGGTCGTGTGCACTATACCAGTTTCTATATTAATCTCGAAGACTATGTTAATAATTATAAGTACGACTTGATTATTGACAGAAGAAACAGATGTCGTTCATTATAACTAAGCAAATGCTGTCTGTATCTATATGTTTTATAAACATACATTTTCGTTGTGTATACTAACGTTTACAAGCCGCTGTAGAGTAGCGACGTAGGAGTTCTCGCTGTGTATAATGGCGGCGACCACATGCCGGCGTCGCAGTTGCACAGGTGACAGCGAGTCTGGCGGCGGGCCCAACGAGGGCGGCGGCACCCGCACACTCCGCACCTCGCCCAGGCATGAGAGGAGCTCCTCCTCCAACTGCAAATATCACATGCACTTGGTAACACAGCACTGCACACCACATATAATGACGTATCCCGCTCTCGTGACTGTCCAATAACATGTTTGTTGTGAATTTTACAAATTAGCATTACTCAATATTTCTGCTATGACATTGCATGTGAAGTGGGCATGAATAGAGAATAGTTTCTTAAACATCATGTAGACTCATCACGTCGCCTAAAAACCATGTGGATTGTATCGAAAATAGACCGGTCGTGGACGCCGGTTGGTGCGTACAAATCGTATTGTACGCGTCATTACCGGACGGAACAATTCACGAGGCGGGATCGCGTCACCATCGCAGTTTCCAAGTAACGAACATAAACGTCAAAAGCACTCTGTCGACTTACGTCGAAATCTGTCAATGTGTAATTAGCCTTATCATGAAGTAACTTCGCGCAGAACATTATAGAATCACTAACACGAGGAAAAACATTAGATTAACTTTTGACATTTACAAAACACACGTTATCCACCTCGTCTCACTAAAGATATACTGAAGAGAAAAAAATATTACAATCGTATACATTAATCCGGTGTGGTCGCGTGGTAATACTGGACACCACTCTGACATCATAATATCTGCCTGAATAGATTATTCGATAATCACATATTTCAATAGCCTGTGTGTTTATTTTAGTTAAAAACGGATTATTTGTTTAACGAGGTGGGACCTCGTTGAGTCAAAGTTAAGGCGTAACTACGCTCTACGCGCTACTGATTCGATTTGTTGACTGACTATTCAATGGGCGATCATGATTCATCTAAAATATAATTGTGAATCATAATATGAACTATACTTAATAAATAATGTATAATAAACCGAGTAACATGAGGATAGAGGCCAATAAAAAGAGTCGTTTAATTCCAGAAATTGTCGAGCTGCGAGTCAATGACCAATTGTTTATGAGCGTACAACGTCCGTTTCATTGATATAGTTTAAATGAGGCTTGGAAATTATAGCTTATCTCAGCGCTAAAACATATTTTGAATTCTTAGAGCATGAAATATATGCATATGAATTATGCAAGAGATATTAACAAAATTCTACGCTGTTTATTTTTGCAACCGGTCAATTTTCTAATATTATAATCATAATAATGTTATAATACATTGAATATGTCGTTGCCAAAAACAAAATTAGATACTAATAAAACAATTTAAGTTCAAAAAGAGTTCCAACCCATTTTGAACTTAAATTGTTGAGTAAAAACGAAAAAGTTTTAACGTTTTTACTTAGCCACAACTATTACTTTAAATATGTTCATGAGAATCGGTTTTACAATTTATAATCTTTCTATTATCGTTGTCACGTCAGTATTGGTATACTAAACGAACACATACCACTAGAGGGTGATCAAAGTTACAGTAAAGCAACTGAGCTTAATTTAGAATTCTATTTTAATAAATCTTTCGGAGATACTTTATAATTTCTAAACCAGTCTTGAAGAAATTTCTGTAGTGAATAAATATATCTAGAACAACAGTAATTAGGACGATTTGACTGTGGTGGTGATGTCACAGTTTAAGCACACTTTTGATGATTGTAAATATCTGCACAATACATACATTTGCATTCATGACGTAATTCTTTGGACCGATTTCAGCGTTTTATATCTATTATTTGGACGCGTATGTAAAAAATGTATCTCTATCAGTTGTCTTACTAGACAACTGATAGAGATACATTTTTTGCCTTTGAGTGTAAGTTCTACTTAGTTGAGAAGTCCTTCATATGATATTAAGATCAGATCTATTTATTACTATTATTTTTAAACAGGAACTTACTGCTGGTAATTTAGGCATCTTGTCGGAGTCATGCGAGTGCATATCATATTGGTGTGTGGATCCTCGGCGCATACTAAACCATCGAGCCAACCGCCCTCCTCCTTCATCGTCGGGCGGAGGTGCAGGTGGTGCCGGCGTCGCGACGCCGCTTCTCCACCGTTCACATAGCTCTCGCGCTCGACTAAGGGTGTTGCGCAGTTGTCCACTGCTCCTGTAACAAGAAATAAACAATTTTAAAATTAATATTTATCTCGATAAATTCGTCCTCACGTCCGTCCTTGTGTTCGTGCATATGTACGTATTTTTGTTATAATGCGTTTTAAACAAATTATATTTTACACACATTATTTTTGAGTACCCCATAAATATTAATTCCTGATAGCGCCACAACCCTATTTAAAAATTGCAAAAACCTGGTAACATCGGTAACGTCAAATTTGTTTCCGGGATTAAAAAACCGACTATTGACTATATACAGGTTGACTTTTCTTCAAAGAAACAGTATATGCTCACCAAAATAAAATAATACATATATAGTGACTGTTTCATAGAAGATAAAATGCCTAGAGCACCCTACAAACATAATAATCACAAAGTTCCATTAATTCTCTAGATTTTTTTTTGCGTCCTGCAGTCGTAATAATATGTGTCACATATGTCTTGTTTTCGACCCGTGCACTTCAATGGAAACATAATATACTATGGTCCGAATTTAGGTAATGATGGTAGCTGTCATAATAACAAATTTATGTAAGATGGTAAATCCAATGACTGAAATAAATAACAATAATTACGTACGTGTAAAAAAAACGATGCATATTAAATTTGTTTTATACAACAAAATGTACGCAAGTTTGTAATTTTTTAATATTCTGATTAATTCATGATTTAATATCTTTGATGCATAATTATATGTACTTATAGCATAGTAAATTGACTGCGAACGGTAGGATGTAAGCAATTAAAAACTAGATGCGGAAGAAGTTCAATTAAAGAGTGAAAACTACCTAATAATTAATTGGTCGAAACTATAAACTGGAGCTATTAGATAACACCTATTCGTTTAATAGCTTTATGTTATTGACATGAGCTAACGCTGTGTTAGATAACATTCCATAAAAGTGTAAATATTTATTACCAGTAGTGCCCGCGATTTTACACGTATGTAGATCGCCATCTATTGATGCTAATCAAACGACGACAATAAATAAATCATCCATCTATTATTTGATTAATTAATTTTAACGGCCTCGGTGGTCTCTCGTGGTGGTCGGTTTAGCACACCGCTTTAATTCCTATAATCGCGGGTTTGATCCCTCGTAAAATACAAACATTTGTATTCATGAGTACCATTATTTGTATCGGTCTGGGTATTTTCTAGTTACATTATGCATATATTTACAAAAAAATATTTATATAAGACGTCTTGTACTATCAAGGTATCCATAATACGAGTTCTGCATACCTTGGGTGTGCAGAACTCGTATTGTGGGTTCGTGTTACATTGTGTGAAATATCCAGGGGTACCATTATTATTAATGAAATTGTAAGTGATATATTGAAAATTTTAACATAATTAATTTTTAAACCCCATTGTTGGATTTTCTACTTAACTATTTTTGGCTTAACTTGTTTACGCTTTCAAATTTTCCATCATAATTGAAACTTTAACACAAACAGTTTTCGATTCGTCACAATTTTATTAATATAATGAAATGATATGTTTAGTAACGTAATTATATTTACTACTGATGAATGTCACTGCGAGATAGGATAGACAGTGCAAACAATACAATCGATACTTAATCGAGAGTAACGTTGCATGATCATCGATTAATAGCAATTAAATTACTATAGAACAATTAGATTGACAAAACACAAAACAAAGATTCCCGAAGGTTACATTACGAATGTACATGATGTATGCCACATGTCATATTTGGTAATGTCACACATGATAGATTATTGTTTTTATGGTAAGAATACGGCGAATTAATTTGTATACGTCATGCGCTTTATTATGATGAGCCAATGTGTTATTCTGATGTATATCACAGTAAAGTTTCAACAAAATCCATTCAGTAGTTTTTTTTAATATTATATATATATAATACGATTCGATACGGAGTGTCCAGAGTATACTTATTACTTGCGATAAGGCTTTCTATCCGTGCGATTCTCTTTCTCTACCATTAATTATAATTACTACTTCCACATATAAGTGACGTTTTGTAAAAGCTAAAGTTTTTGGGTATCACAATGTTAGAAATTTTGCAAACAACTTAGTTTTAATGTTCAAATCAGTTTTTAATATTAATTGGATATTATGATATTGATTTTAAGATTAAATTGTAAAATATTATAAAAGGAAGTTTATTGATATTAAGATGAAGTGTTACATAAATGTAGGTTTCCTATAGGTTATTGAGTTTACGCGTTTTTTATATAACAAACAGGCGATTGATTATACAGACAAATAAAATCTAGTTTTATAAGGAAATTGTTATAGATGGACATAATTTACTAGTGTATTAGAAGAGACTATACCTGAATTAGGAAAAATGACACAATATTCAATTAAACATCCATTTAAGCCATACAATTATTATACACACAGCGTATACAAGTAGTAAATAATGTTACATAAGTGTATAGCGGTTTGCAATCTTGTATAATTATTTCCTATTATATTGTAAAAAATGTTCTTTGTTAACAGGTACTTGATTATTCAGATATTCCTTTGTTTACGTTCTGATGGATAACTGAACGAGGTTCTACATTGATCTACGGGTCAAGCGGAGCTCGTTTGAACTCGTACCTTGGGGTCGAGCTTTGCGATCACCAATAGCGATTATGCCAATTAAGTATAGCTATCTTCTCAGTTTAGCAATGAAGTACTCCGCGCAAAAACATTGAGACGAAGCCGATGTTTTTTCATAGATGGTAATGGAATGGTGCACCCGTGCATTAATGGTTATCGCAAACGGGGTACCAGAAGACGACGACAGGATAATTAGTCAGTTGCAGTGTTTTCACCAGGAATTAAGGACTATAGTTACCAAGGAGGACCACGTGGAGATTAACCTGTCAAGAAAGGGGCTACTAGTTTCCATTTCTGACAATTCTGTCTTCCCCAGTGACTGATGTTAAGATGTCAGTTTCCATGTTTACTTAACATGTCTTAATTATTGCTCCATTGATATAATGCAGCTTCAATTGCCAAGACAAACTCAGGATTATTAGTCCCAATTTAGACAGGCTCGTTTGTATCGCAGTTAAATATAAACATTGAAGTGGTGGCATTTACGTGGAATTTTACGACCAGAACATTTACGAAATGTACGATAAAACATGTGGGTGGTGAAAACAACATTAATAAAATTTAAACATCGACTGACAGACGACAAGCAACCTAACCCAAAAAGTCTTTATACCTAAACTAATAGGGTTTTCAGGCCTACTTTTGAGAGCACGAAAGTTTGCATAGGAGTTTCATATACATATACTTATGTTTGTGGGAATTTTAGTTCTCACGGGAAAACGGATAAATAGATATTAAAACTCTTCAAATACTCCAGCTACGAGTATTCGATAAATTTTAATTTAAAATAAGTTTTTTCATTTATACCTGAATGAATATTTTATTATAATTGTTGTTCTCAATCTATTTAGTCAGATTAGTTTAACCAAACAAATCTCGTCAAATAGAAAGAAAGAGAAACAAGAAATTGAAAGATAACATACCGGTTATATCGGGCAAGTGTAACTTAATCGTTTACCATGAACACCCATTTCTAAAGACTAAAAGGGAACTCTTGTAATTTCAGAATGTTTGTCTAACTGCTTTTCTGTCTGTATGTATTATACTTTAAAACATTGTAACTTTTATAGCATTAGAAATGTATAGAATAAGCCGTTCACATAGAAGCGGCCTTACGAATTACTAGTAAAATAAATATCAAATTCTTTTTAGTCTACTCCTCTATCAATTTATATACGAATACAGTAGAAATGGGAGTCATCATTAGTATCCGTATTTATAGCCGGACCTTTCTTTATGTTACGTGCAGCTTAAATGACTTAATAGATTTTAATTAATAGGGTGTGGCTAGTTTTGGATTAATTGTGATAGTGCTCTACTATAGGATTTTTGGGCGTTTGCTATATATTTTATTTATTAATCTATTTTATTAATCTATAAAACAAAATTTTAATATGTTAAGGGCTTTACTTAGTCTGAACCTAAATGGTGCTGTGTGACGTTCAAAATAAACATGACGTTGATATTAAAAAATATATATTTCGTAGTGATATTTGACCTAGTCACTTCCATCTGATTACCTTATCTTTTTGATAGTCAAATATTTTATTAACACATACTCTGCATAAATTTAATTAACAGATTACTAAATAAGTTAAATACGTAAAAAATATTAAATAGTCATTTAATAGGTACATAAAAATATATTATATCTATGGATCTGTTAATTAGGAATCTAATTTAGTGAAATCTGTTATCAACGATCAAACGATGAACACTCCATCATATTTTATGTTTAATTTTGGATACCAAAATATTTAAACGATAGTACAGACATTCCCATAATTTTAAGTGGGTAAGTAGAAGAGATAATCCTTAAGAATTATGTCGAGCATGACTCTCCTCCTCTTCCTCTCCGTGGTAAAACTAACATTATACAGGCGAAAGTGTGTCAACGTCAAAACAGCTTAACGAATCTAGATAAAATTTCATATGGAGATAGATTGTATACTGAGGACTGTCACATGCCATCTTTTAGGTAATAGTTAGTATTTTATAAAGTTTGTGGTGCTGTTTAAGTCTTGAAGCATTATTAGAATACTCTATCAGATAAGCTATTAGCTTATCCGCAATTAACATAAGAAAAATCGTAACAAGAATGTAAAAGCTCTTGGAGGTCTTGTCATCAAGGCTTGGAAGTATGACGGCTGACGTTATATTGTTATCTAGTCAGCTTATCTACGTATGCCATTTATAAACATAACATTGCATTAAGGCGTTAACTGATAAGATAATTATAATAGTACCCAAACAGGGTGTCGCATATGACACAGGCTTACGCTAGACATGGTATCTGCTCTGAATGCTTACACTTACAATTTCCGTTTAAATATAATAATAGGTGATTTACTGTTAGTCCAATGTTAAACAGAGTCCAATTCTAAACAAAA